ATAACTATCTAATAAAATTCATTAGGAATATCAAAAAGAGGTCAAAAACAAAACAAAAAATAATGAGGAAACTAACAATGATTGCGTAAATAAGAAAGCATATAAGGTGTCTGCAGTTCTACCATATAAGAAGGCGACATCTGAGACCCTAAACAGGGGATTCTAAACAAGGCAGGAATTAGATTGGCATTCACAAGTACAAACTCACTCAGATAGGACAAGCTCTCTTTAGGTTAAAGGACCTTGCCAGTTGACTTAATTAAACAAAATAATATGATTTAGAAAATACCTTGCAATGACTGTGAGTTGAGTCAATTACATAGGTCAGTCAGACCTGTAAATGGCGGGTAGTTAGACTGTCGGAACATAAGAATTTAGCTGAGGTTAGAATAGTTGACCCCATCCGCAAAGGTAAATAATTTGGATAAGAGCTCAACAATCTCACTGCATGCATTAACACACAACCACTCGATAGGGTTAAAATTCTAAGAAGTAATATAGGTAGGTGGAGACAGAGAGAGGAAGATTACTGAATCCTGGTTCATTGAGTCTACACCCAACAAATGCAACAGAAATGATTCAATGCAAATACCAGAAATATGGATGATATTGTTACCACCAGTCAGTCAAGTCAGACTATGATAAATGTTAGAATGTATTCAATTCACATCCTAACCTTCTAACAAGTTATTTGTTTATTTTAGTATAAAAACATCTATCTTATTTCCCATCTTATTGTATTTTATTAATTTCCGGATGTGCTTTATCTTATGGTGATTTTATTCAAATGTCTAATCATCAATTTTTATTCATGTATATAAATGAAGCAAGAAAGTTGTGTGTGTGTGAGTAGTGCCCTGACATGATGATTATGAGCAGTAATAATTTGTGCTCGAAACGTACAACACTGTGTGATTTTATCAAAATAAAATTTTATCCATATAATGAAGAAGCCCGATTGTTTCAAATTCCAACGAGATATCAGGAAACGTATTGGTGATATTTTGAGTAGCGATACAAATACAATCCCGACCGGAAGCTGCTACCTTGACGTGGTGGTCGGGCTTGAACACCGCAATGACCTAATCAAGCTATACTGGCTGAGACTTATGTCTCTTGAGGTCCTACCATGCCAGGCAGGTTGTTTGGATAGCGGTTAAACAAAAAGCAGCTACCCAATCCAATACCATGATTCAAACAAATTCACAAAATTTCATGCCGGATCGGCCGTGGCCCGGATTAACAACGACCGCGCTTCCTGCTGCCGTGTCACAGGGCAGGAGTGATAAGTATGCTACTGAGACACACCAAACAAAAAAGAACAGACAAAAACAGGCCGCGTGTGACCGGCCTCAAGCAGTTGTCCCCTGGGCTCTGCGGTCACGCAACCAACTTCCACGGTGTGGGCAGCCGGGAAGTAACAATCGCCCTCACAATCCGAAATGCACACGAAACCTCTCTAATCCTCACTTATCTTTGTCTTCATCTTCATCTCCATTACCTTGCCTTCCTTCCACTGATGCAACTCCTCTACTTGATAGCTCCTCACTCCCTCTTCACTAAAAACGATGGAAGCCAAAAAACCACCGATAGTCTCCTAAAGCCACGCCACCAATTTCATATAGGAGCTTTAATGTTAGGACACTTTGCCAAATAGGACAACAAGCATCACTAGCCAAGACCCTGGCATCCCGAGCCATTGATGTATGCTGTGTTTCAGAAACACGCATACAAGACCCAAGTGTGGTTATTCACCTAACCCCACCTGGCCAACAGGTTGAATCTGCAAAATTCACCTTGAGGGTGTCAGGAGATGCCACAGCTAGTTCACGAGGATTAGCTGGCGTAGGGATAGCTTTGAGTACTAGGGCAGAAAAGACATTGCTTGACTGGATCCCGGTAGATAGCCGAATGTGTGCTGTCCGTCTGAACGGATCAGTAAGAAGGAGAAAGGACTGCACTACTCGCCGATGCCTTTTCGTAATCTCCGCCTACGCCCCCACTGACTGCAGTTCAGATGAAACGAAGGATGAGTTCTACCAAAAGCTGTCTAGTTTGGTGCGAAAGGCTAAACGCTCAGACATAGTCGTTCTAGCTGGTGACTTTAATGCTCAAGTAGGGAAATTGTGTCAATCTGAGAAGGATGTCGGTGGCACCTATGGAGTTCCGTGCCAGCGAACCGACAACGGTGACCGTCTCCTACAGTTCTGTTCAGATAATCATTTGTTTCTTGTAAGCACTAACTTTAAACACAAGGAGAGACACTGTTTGACTTGGAGACCCCCTTCATCAAACCAACGCTGGACACAAATAGACCACATAGCAATAAGCTATCGTTGGCGTGGGTCGGTAGGAGATTGTCGCTCCTTCTGGAACACGTGTGTAGATACCGACCATGCACTGGTCCGCGCTCGTGTGTGCTTACGACTGAACGGACGTAGGAAACAGCTGGCGGTAAAACCATCACGTCCCCAGCTCGATCAGGAAACTAAATCCGTATTTGAGGAAGAACTAGCTAAACACATATCTGTGTTCGACAGCTGTGCTCACCCTGAAGAAGCTTGGAAGAATATCCAGGCAGCCATAGATACAGCTGTAAAAGCTGTGAATAAGGTAAACCCAAAGGTGAGTAAAAACCACTGGATCTCCACCGCCTCATCCGAACTGATAGATGCTAGAAGACTTATTCCGGCGAGCTCCGAATTCAATGAGGAGCGAAAGCTGCACAAAAGGAAACTTACGAAAAGTCTCCGCAAGGACCGTGAACAGTGGTGGGTGACAAAAGCGAAAGAGATGGAAAAAGCTTCGAGGATAGGCAACACCAGGCAACTCTTTAGACTCATCAGGGAAACGGGTGGGAGAAGACAAATCATAAGTGAAACAATCTCGGAGAAAAATGGCACTATAATTAGCTCCCAGGATAGACGACTGGATCGTTGGAAAGAGCATTATGAGGAGCAGTTTAATTTGCCCACAGCCACGCTCAACCTTCCGAGCATCCAACACCTCCCTGAATGGGATATAGACACAGGTCCTCCATCCCTAACTGAGGTTACTAAAGCTGTCACCAATCTGAAACTAGGCAAAGCAGCGGGACCTGATGGAATGACTCCAGAGGTATTTAAGTACGGTGGAGACAGCTTACTGTCTGCATTAACTGAGGTACTAGGCAGCGTCTGGGAATCAGAAGAAGTCCCATCGGGTTGGTGTAAGTCACTGATTATCCCCATATACAAGAAGGGAGACAAGTCTTCCTGTGATAATCACAGAGGGATTAGCTTGACTAATATAGTATCTAAAGTCTTAGGCTCAATAATCATGCGTAGACTGAGTGGTGCTCGGGAAGCACAAACACGAGAGAGCCAGGCAGGCTTTAGACCAGGAAGAGGGTGTATTGATCATATCTTCACCCTCCGACAGATTCTAGAACATAGGAATTCCTACCGGTGCCCAACAATCATTATATTTCTTGACCTAAAGGCGGCATTCGACTCTGTCGATCGAGAGGTTCTCTGGAGATGCTTGGCTGTAAAGGGAATTCCGAGAAAATATATTGCACTGATCAAGGAACTCTATTCATACTCATGCACCAGCCAGGTGAGGGCTTACGGTGAGTTGTCATCTGAAGTGGTGACGACTAGTGGTGTCCGTCAGGGATGCCCATTATCCCCATTTCTATTCAACTTCATCATAGATGTACTAATGGACTTGACCCTAAGTGACTTCAGCGACTCAGGGATTGACTCGCTACCGTCAGGGAATGATCTCGTCGACTTAGAATATGCAGACGATATAGTCCTTCTAGGCGAGGACGCTGACGTAATGCAGTCCTTTGAACACCCTGAGCTGCAATCTACGAATGTTTGGCATGTGATTCGCTCTCGCCAAATGCGAGATGATGTTACAGGACTGGACTACACTGACTCCTAGATTAGAAATAGGGGGTGAAGTGGTAGAGCATGTTGACCGCTTCACTTATTCGGAAAATTGCATCAGCCAGTGTCATTGGGTTGATCTCTGACGAAAACTCCGCACGCGTACAGAGGGCTAGTTTAGCATATACCAGTTTACGCCATCTCTGGCGTAAACGTGATATCCGGCTGGCTATCGACCAAAGGGCGGGTTCAATGCTCATCAGTCCGCTTCGTCCTCCCTTATGGCTGGCCGTGAGACCTGGACATTGACAGTAGAGGACATGAAAAGGCTAGTTGTGTTTGATCATGGGTGCCTGCGTTCTATCTCCTGTGTGAACTGGCATAATAAAGTGAGCAATATTGAGGTTAGGCGTCGAGTGCTAGGTAAGAAGGAGAAATCAATCGACGAAGTTGTGAAGTTACATCGACTGAGATGGTTAGGACATGTATTACGTATGCCTAGGCATCACCTTCCTCGACAATAGGCAATGTTAGCTGACATAGGGTTAGGCTGGAAAAGAGCTAGCGGCGGTCAAACCAAAACATGGCCTCAACAGTCAATAAAATCCACAACAGTTAGTTTAAGCCAGTCACGTAGGAAGGTGGAGACTGGCGTCCTGGTTGGGGTCCTCGGGATAGTAAAAACCAATGGTTGCAAACAATTGGTAATATGGCTCAAAATCGTTCGCAATGGCTAGTGCAGATGCATCAACTCCTTGTGACTTATGATTTCCAATGAAACTGCTTTGTTCTTCGTTATTACTCCTCCTTTGTCTCACACCTCTGTTTACTGTCTCTCTCTATTATGCATTTCTTCTACTTCCTTCTGTTGCTTTCTGTGCTACATAGAGTGTGGCAATTTGAACTGCAGCAATATGTGCAAAGTTGTATGTCGAAAACAGACAGAGAGACAGACAGACAGATTAACACGACACTGTGTCAGTGGTACAGTAGTAGTAGGATGCTAACTACTAACCAGGTCTACTCATATAGTTTGGAGTTGCCTACGCGACTGACGTAATTTTAAACCTCGTATAGCTGGTTCTAGCTGGTTAAACTTCACTCGGAAGGTATAGAATATAAATAAATAAATAAACAAATAGTAATAATAACAATAAAATTACACGACTCTTATGTATGAAACAATACTACTCTGCCAGGTGAAACGGATATAATAACCCCAGCTAACTAAAGCACACTGTAACACATATACACACACACGCGCACACACACACACAAGCAAATAATACTCACAATGTCTTAACCATTGTAGTCAAGTGGAAGAAAAAGAGAAAAAATATAATAGGGAATCTTATTCACTGCAAAAATTAATTTGAAAATACAAAAAAAACACAGTGAGAATTAGTCAATTTCGATAGTTTCATTTTCATAAATAGCCGGAGTGGGATTAGGAATAGGAGTCGGTGTACTACTAGTAGGCAAGTTCACCGATGCTATCTGTTGTGTCCTTGAAACTGAATTGGATAAAGATGAAGATTTTACGACAGTTGGATGACGATAATTACTACTGAAGGGTGTAGCATGTGTGAAACGCGGCGGTGAATGAAAGTTATCACGGGTTACTACTACTGATGTTTGATAATTGTATGCTCTACCATTGGTGAAATGTTGACTAGATGATGTTCTACTTGTTAGTAATGTTGCTGTAACAGGATAACGATGTACAATATGTGCACTAGCCATATGACGCATTGTTTCAAATCCATGCGGACCAAATCGTGTAGCAACAGTTAAAATTTGACTAGATTGTCTTGTTTCTTGAGCAATTGGTGTTGAAAAAGTAAATCTATTATTGTTACTACTATTATTACTATTACTATTATTATTTGACATAAAGGGTGAAGTATGCACAGGGAAGGAGCCTTGTGATTTAGGCAGTTTTTTTGGAGGTTCTGAAATTGAATAAGATGATGTTGGCGAAGAAGAACAAGAAGTATCATCATCAACTAGATTAATTGTTGTCGGAGAATCAACTGTTGAAGAGTCTACAATAGAATTTCTTCTATCAATAGAATCAATTGGATGATCAAGTGTAGGCGGTGATAATTGTGATTCATTATTGGTCGAGGAAATGTTTGTATCACAGACTGGAACTGAAGAAGTAGTACAAGAAGAAGAAGAAGAAGAGGGAGGATTAACCAATCCAGAAGAATTATGGGATTTTTTCACATCACCATCATCCTTATTATCATCTTTATCCTCCTCCTCCTCTTCCTCAGAATCTGAACTCAAAGTCAGCACTTCATCAGATGTATCTGAAGAATTCTCAGCTATATGATCTTTTGCGTCATTAGTTGTTTTTTCTAAGGGACAAGTTTCCTGTTGGGAGGTTGATGCAACAGAAATAGGATCAGTTGTATTGATCTGTTGGTCAACAGTATTCATAGTTTCAGGTTTGTCATCAGAATCCTGGGATGTTGTTGGTTGAGCGGACTGACTAGTGTGTTGCAGATCAATGAAGTGTTTGAATACCTACAGGGTAACAAGAAAAATAATAAAAAAGAAAGAGAGAGTGTGTGTGTGAGACCTGTATCTAATTGACTGGTTTCAGCATAGAATTTCGAACAGATGGACAACACTTCCAGTTGCCACACTCCCCTCCTTGAAGCATACAAACCAATAGAAGAGAGTGAATGTATGCACATGCGGCAGCCATTGAGAACTACGATTTTTAGCCATATTACCAATTATATTATTATTATTATATTATTGCTCCCTTGGGTTCCTAGTGGAACATAGGGCTTCACCTGAACGTCTCCATTTGCTTCTGTCTTCCTTCTGCTGTACTTTTCACCTCCATCCATGTTAGTCCATACTTTTTCAACTCCTCTTCACAAGATCTGCTCCATGTCATCCCTGGACGTCCCACACGCCACTTCCCTTTCGGCATGGTTCCACTCGAGCAATGGCCTGACCCAGGGGTCTCCTCAGCGAGTGTCCAATCCATCTCCACTTTCTCCTGCATACTTGTTGGGTTCTTGTTTTGTTTGTTTCCATAGTTCCTTGTTGGTGATTCTTTCCGGCCTGGCCATCTGATCTTCAGTATACAGCGAAGACAGTTGTTGGTTGATAAAGGTCTGCAACAGGCTGTTGGAAATATTCTTTGTGACCCGCCAGCCAAGTTTCTGATCCGATCCGTATAGAAGAACTGACTGACTTGACGTTTGTATTGAAAATCCGACTGAATTTTGTTGTTGATACTGGCTGAGTGACGAAGATTTCGAGATTGATTTCAGCTTGATGAATGTGTTTCTCGTCTTCCCGATTCTCGCTCGATTTGACATCCTCGTCCGTTCCGACTGGCTGTAGTTGAGGCAGTGCTCCCTAGATAAGTGAATGAATGAAGTAACCTCTTTCAAATCCCTCCCGTTGATGGTGGGTGATTCGCGCTGGATATTGCTGCTGCTGTTGTTGTTTGTTGGTTATTTTTATAACCTCCGTCCTGCCTATGTTCACTTGGAGTCCTGTCTTCGCTGGCTGCTTTTTCGACCAAAGACCAATTAAGTCATGAAAAAGAGAAGATGTTTAGCGAAGAGACTCTTTTCGCCGCCGAATTCATTCATATAGCTGTACAATCGCATTTATATATAATTATTTGTGTGTGTGTGCACATGCAGTTTGTCAAGTCTAGATAATTAATCAAGTAATACAAGAATGATCTAATATATAAACAGGGTAATTAGACAGCAATTAAAGTAACATTAAGTTGAACCTGGCTGTCATTATCCTGGAGGAGATTGGTTCCCACTGCATGACAGCTTTGACTGCTGTTGATGACATCATGATGGCCACTCACTCGGTGTGCTAGTGATTGTCCTCTGGGTGACCGGAATAGATTATTGTCTCTCCAGTTGGAAGTTGGCACCTACCACATCCATTCCATCTGATCTCGCAGATTCCCAACACTTCTATTCTGTACCTTCTCATTTCTGTGGCTACCTAAGCAGCCTTTCCACTTCAGTACATTGTACGAACATTCCACGTCCTCATCCTTATTTTTGCTTTCATGGAAAGAAGGCACATCGGCTGACTGGCTTCCCGAAGGCTTTCACCAGCCTGCATCATTTCGCTTCCCCAACTCCAGCGAAAAATAAGGTTATTGTTTATATTTTTAGTATTTTTAATATATCTATGAGTTGAAGTTTCTGTTTCTCTTTATCCGAGCTTGGGACCGGCTAGAAAACTAGCGAGCTAGTAATCAGCATCAACAACAAAATTTGGATTTTCAATACAAACGTCAAGTCAGTCAGTTCTTCTATACGGGCGGGTCACAAAGAATATTTCCAACAGCCTATTGCAGACTTTTATCAAAAACTGTCTTCGCTCTATACTGAAGATCAGATGGCCGAACCGGAAAGAATCACCAACAAGAATCTATGGGAACAGACAAAACAAGAATCAATCTCTCAGCAAATATGCAGGAGAAAGTGAAGATGGATTGGACACTCATTGAGGACGCCGGTTGCTGACATCGCGCATCAAGCCCTCGAGTGGAACCCGAAAGGAAAGAGGCGAGTGGAACGTGTCCAAGGGTGACATGGAGGAGATCGTGTGTGAAGAGGAGTTGAAACAGTATGGACTAACATGGATGCGAGTCCGAATAGCTCAGTGGTAACGTCTCTGACTGCAGAACTCACTAGGTGACGCGGGTTCGCATCTCAGAAGGGACATGAGTTTCTTCACGGTGGTTGCGGATATGCCTTGCTGACTAGAGAGTGCTAACTAGCACGAAACTTAGGTACAAGGCTTCCCGCCAATTTCATACAACCATCTAATATCATCAAAAGTATAAGGTGAAAAGTACAGGAGAAGACAGAAGCAAATGGAGACGTGCAGGTGAAGCCCTATGTTCCACTAGGAACCCAAGGGAACAATAATAATAAAAAAAGGAAGATTGAGTTAGTAAGTTAGATGACGTAATACAATCGACTAAAATGTTTCGACTTAGGTCAGGGTAGCAACAGAGGTAATTACAGGTAGAAAGAGACTAAGTAGAAGTGGGGTAGAGGATGATAATGCCATTTAAATTAGAACTAAAACTGAGCAAATAAGTTCGATAATGTAACATGAATGAGTAGGAATTGACCGTTGATCAAGTGAGTAACAGTAGTAATTAGTAGTTATTTTTTCGGGACGCTAAGCGTGGGCGGCTTTTGCGGTCTAGGATTCATTGATTTTCCAATAAATCGTTCTGGATAACAATTCTCGACAAGGATTCTCTTGAGATTGTCCAGTTCATCTTCTATAGTGTCCGGGGTGCAAATTCTGCGAACTCTGTAACTGAGTGAACGGATCAGGTTTCGTTTGGTGTATAGAGGTACCGAACTGTGAAAGTTAGTAAGGTGTCCGTTGCACGTCAACTTTCTGTAGATAGATCTTTTCAGTGTTCCATCCTGTTCTCGTCTTGTTATTTGAACGCCAAGAAAGGATATTTTGGAGTTGGAATCTTTCTCCAGCGTGAAATGAATCGCGGGCTGGCAGTTGTCAAACGACTTCAAGATATCCTCTAGATTTTCTTCATTGTTGACGATAATGAAAGTGTCGTCAACGTATCTCTCATAGATTTCGATAGTATCAATCATTTTCTTCAGGCGTGTGTTTTCGAGTTTTGCCATGAAGAAATCTGCAAGCAACGGGCCTAGTGGTGAGCCCATAGCTATACCATCTTTTCGGCGATATATTTCGTTGTTAAAAGAGAATTGAACATTCAAGATACATCTCGGTAGGAGTTCTTTAAGACGCTCGGTGGGTGTACCGATGTTCCGTTGGAGTGAATAAATTAGCACATATAGCATATGGTTTCAGTCAGTAGAACGTTTGTGCAGCCTTGGTTGGCACTTACCACTCCAAGGACCACAACCAGGAAGCCACTCTACGCCTCCTTGTTTGGCTGGTTGGCTCAAACTACCTGTTATGCATTTCATTGGCTGATGAAGCCATGCCATGTCCACGTTTGACCACCACCACTGACTAGCTCTTTTCAAATCTGATCCATCTTATGTCATTCAGCTAACACTGCCAGTCATCGAGGAAGGCGATGGCTAGACATACATGCACTACACATGTCCTAACCACCTCATCACTCACTCAACTGATTTGACTTCATAACGTTGCCCCAACGGGTTGATCTCTGACGAAATCTCAGCACGAATACCGAAGGCTCGTTACGCATATGCCAGTTTACACCGACTCTGGCGTAGACGAGATATTCGACTATCGACCAAAGGCGGGTGTACTGCTCATCAATCCGCTCCGTCCTCCTATATGGTTGTGAGACCTGGCCACTGAGAGTGGAAGACATGAAAAGACTAGCTGTCTTTGATCATAGGTGCCTGCGCTCTATTCCCGGTGTAAAGTGGCATAATAAGGGGAGCAACATGGAGGTTAGGCGTCGAGTGCTAGGTAAGGAGGGGAAATCAATCGACGAAGTCGTGAAGTTACAAAGACTGAGATGGTTAGGACATGTGTTACGTAAGCCAAGCCATCCCCTCCCCCGACGAGCAATGTTAGCGGATATAGGGTCAGGCTGGAAAAAAGCGGGGGGGCAAACCAAACAGGCCATAAAAAACCACAAAGTTGGCTAAGCCACGAGGAAGGGTCTCCGGGTTGGGGGCCCGGGACGGTAAAAATTAGGTTGGAAAAAATTGGACATGGTCAAAATGTTTCGGGAGCCCACTCCCCTCCCTTGTTTTGAATTAATGAAACTTTTTTTTTCTTTTCTTTCTTTTCCTTTTCCCCACCTCTCTCCTGTTTCTTTTTCTTTTCTTTTTTTTTTTCTCTTGCTTCGCGGCTACACGGGTGTGGGACTTGAACTGGCGCACATTTGTGAAAGTTCTATGTCAAAACAGAAAGATTGTGTGATATCCTTTCCTTACCTGACACTCGACCGGAGTCTAACCTCAATACTGAGACCACCACCCTATTACACCTACGCACTATTCAACACAGAAGATGGAATGTAGACACCCCCGTGATCAAAGACACCTCTATAGCTAACCTTTTTATTTCTACCACTGTCAGCTCGTGATCAATCCTAGGATTTAAGCCTGTGTTAAGCCTGTCGTGTCAAGTTGAGTAACTCACCTTGTTTAAATTGTTATCACCAAGGCGTTTATTTTCATTTAGCCTTCTGCGTAAATCTCGATCTGAATACGTTGGATCATCGTCTTCACTTGTATATCGGAAGGATGGTAAGTTGTTTTTTTTTTAGAAATGAAATCAAGAAAACGAAAAGTGTGGCTTAGAATGAGAATAGACTGTTAAAAAAAACGATAATTTTTATTCGGAATATAAAACATAAAAAAGGAAGAGTGACGACCCAGGAATAGGACAAGAAAAAGAAACCAGAAAATACAGAGACATATTAGGAATAATGAGAAAGACAAATTGTTGTCGGTTATGAGACAAGTATCCCTAACAACGAAAGGGAAGGGCGAGACAGCATACAGTTCTCAATCCAGAAGAACAAGATGGATAGAAAAAGATCCTAGCAGTTTAAAAGTATTATTTTCTTTGTGTTCTATTGTGAAGTTGAGATTTACATGGTATGAGTTGAATTTTATCAACAGAAAAGATCTGCTGCTTTTGATCTGCTTTCATAGACAATAAAAATGTCATTAACATATCTTAGGTTTAAAACTAAGTTTGTTGTATATGCCAGGCTTATAAACCTGACAAAAAATAAATCTGTGAGAAAGAAAAATGCTTAAAATTGAGGAGGCTTGTACAATTACAGTTTATAAACCGGGTGTCTTTGTGTGTACGAAAGGAAAATGATAGCCCCTCTGAATCTACCATGTTAATTCTTTATACAATTAAGCTTTTTTTCTCTGATGGCTAGGTGCTTATAGAACACAGTATAATTGAGCAAAGAAGATCCTTTCCGATAATTTCCTTTTCTGCCTCTACAATTATATAAACATATGTTTATATACATAGAATATTCTAGAATAGCAGTCAATAACATTGTCAGTGTTTTTTAGATAATATCTATTTGTAAAGTAAGATCACAACGGAATTACAATTCACTAAAGATGCATAAATTATAACAAGCATAAAAATATAATAGCAAATAGAATATTAACTAAAATTAGGGAAATTTCTACAAAAATATGAGGATAACTCGAACCTAGATGGTCAAGGTAAGGATAATATCTGAACCAACCAACTTCTTTTGCACGCTCAAATTAGGCTTCTTAATATGGATTCCAACAGACTCAACAATATTTAGTAATCCAACTCTAAAGGCGAAATTAAGATTTGTTGATATGTGTTAAATGATTCTGAAAGCCACGTCGCTAACATCAATCTTGTGTTCTGTATCCACAAGATGAGATAGAATAGCGCTACGACTAGATTTTGTTTGTCCTTTGCCTAACCACACAGGGTGATTGATGTTCGGTAATTCGACGAGAAACACGCCTAATTGTACGGCCTGTGTAACTGAATCCAGTGGAACAAGATGGACTAAGAAAAGGCTAATCATGTGCTGGTCGAATTGCAACTCCACATATTATCAATCATCGAACAACGCACAGAATCGCAGTCAAACCTCTACCTAAACTTTATCGACTTTGAAAAAGCAAAGGCTTAGAAACCGTTGCCCGAAAAGTCATTCGGAAACTACTTCAATACTACGGTGTGCCTTAAGTGTTTACCAACCCAATTTAACATCTGTCTGTGTGACAATACCACCTATCAGGTGATCCACAACGGAAAACTCAGCGAGGCGTTTATAGTGACTGAATACAGGAGTAGGAAACGACTGTCTATTATCATTGTCCACGATAATATTCCTAATTGTGGTGAACTAGATTAGAAGTTACATAAGACATGGAGCATAAGAAGACAGAAATACACTGCATTGACCGATAAGAAGATTTTAGATGATCTGGATTTCGCACGTGGATGATTTATGTTGAATGTCACACACACACACACTCGAAGACTCACAGGCGAAACCAACAAACTGGCTGATGAGTCAGGCAGAAAAGACAGGACTCCAGGTGAACATGGACAAGACACAGAGGTGATGAAGATAACCAACCAACGGAGACAACGATAACAACAACTAGCACCAATCACTATCAATGCGAGAGATTTGACCGAGGGTATTTCCTTCACTTATCTGGTTAGGATAGGAAGCATTGTTTCAACCACAAGAAGCACACGGTACCGATGAGCAATGTCAACACCAGCCAGCCAGCCAGCCACCAGTCAGAATCGGAAAGGTAATAGACGCATTTATCCGCCTAATATCAGTTTGTAAATCTTCTGCTTCACTCAACCTCCTCAGCATAAACAATAAGAGTTGCATTGCCAACACAAATATGAAGTCAGTCAATCAGTCAGTCACTTTTTCTACATGAGTGAGAAGACTGGCTAGCGTGTCAGGAAAAGCCATTTCAAATGGGACTCTGCAGACTTGTATCATCAACAGCTGCCTCTTTCGCTGACTTCATATTGAAGACCAAATGACCATCCGGCCAGCCAGAAAAAACTGGTGAGGAGAAACTCTTGGAACAAACCAACAAAGAGCCGATTGCTCAACAAATTACATTTAGAAGAAAATGGAGATGGATCGGGCACACGGTGAGAAGGCCGTCGAATGACAATGTGCCCACCTAGTGAAGGCTATCGCTTGCATGAAATCAAAATGGGAAGCAACGAGTTGGGCGTTTGTCCAAAGGTGACATGCAGGAGATCGTATGGGAAGGGGGAGATCAAAGATTACAGGCAATCGTTGACCCAGCTGCTTAAGAGGGCAGCACAAAATAGAACAAAGCAGAGATGTGTTGTTGAAGCTGTATGTTCCACTTGGAACCCAAAGGAACAATAATAATAAATGTTAGAAGTTCGCATATAAAGAAAATCTTAAAGAATAGCCATAGATCAAAGTGTATAGAAAGATATGCTGACATAACGATAGGCATGTTTGTAACGTTCAAGAACTGTAACGTATTTTTCAAGGTTTAATAGCTGAATATGTTAAACCGGTAATAATATCTAGAGAGTGGTTTTGTGACTACTAAGAGAGAACTTCTAAAGCCCTTTTTTTTAAAAAGAAGAGATGCGGTAATTACCAAAGATCGTGACCAGTAGAAAGTGCGTCGGTGGCAAAGCGGTTAGGACGCTCGCCGACCATCCACATGGTCCGGGATTCGACCCCCTGCCACAGACTCACTTCTTTACCTCACTAAGCCAGAAACAAAGCTGGTAAAGAGAAAAGGTTTGGCATGAGGCTAACAACCCCATCCTGTAAAAATAAACACTGCTACAGAAACTTCAAGCCACCAGCTTGAAGTCCTATATTCCACTGGGGAACGTGAAGGAAAAAAAATGACCAGTTGAAAGGCGCTAGGTTCAACTACTGAATATAATTAGTATCCCTCAGATTCTTTATTTCATGTTTACTTGTGCCGTCAGAACAAATTTTCGGTGCTCTATTGAACAGTGTTCTAATATCTTTTTTCTCCTATACTGGATTGCAAAAAAACTTACTATCCTGTCCATGAAGACTTTCTACATATAGATATTTCAATTGTGTCATAAATCCTTTTCACGTAGAGAAACATTCTAGGATTTAATTGGTGGATGGTGACTAGCAGTGGTGGAATCCAGGATGCACACTTTGTCCTATTTGGGACTCGCGTCAGCTGGATGTGCCTACATTCCCCAATGAGTGAGTGATGGTGTTTCCACCGAGGCTCGAACTCACTGCCCATAGTTTCAAACGCCAAAGCGTTATCCACTAGACCACTTGGACCATGACAGCCACCTCTTGTGCAACGGGTCATATAAATTATTCAATTGAATTGCACAAGGAGCCGAGCTTGCACAACCTGAGACCGAGCACTTTAGTCCAATCAATCGACGGGAAAATTTGAAATTCAATTAAACATCCCAGGAGTCTAAGAGTACTATTTCCTTCGTGTTCTATTGTGAAGTTGAGATTTACATGGTATGAGTTGAATTTTATCAACAGGAGAGATCTTTAGCTTTTGATCTGTTTTTACAGACAATAAAAATGACATTAACACATCTTAGGTTTCAATTCCGTTAGTTGCATATGCCAGGCTTCTAAGCCTGACAAAAAATAAATCTGTGAGAAAGGAAAGTGCTTGAAATTGAGGAGGCTCTACAATTATATACGCATATGTTTATGTACATAGAATATTCTAGATTAGTAGCCAGTAACAATATTAGTGTGCTTTTTAAAGTAATATCGATTAGTAAAGTGAGATCTCGATGGAATTACAGTTCATTAAAGATGCTTAAATTATAATAATAATAATATAATAGCAAATAGAATATCAACTAAAATTAGGAAAATTCCACAAAAATTCAGGAGCATTCGAACCTATATGGCCAAGGTAAGGCCAACGTCTGAAGTAGCTTCTTTTGGACGCACAAATTAGTCTTCTTAACATGGAGCCCAACAGCCTCAGCAATATTTAGTAGTCGAAGTCTTTAGGCGAAATTAAGATTTCTTGGTATGCGGTAAATGCCTCTGAAAGCCACGTCGCTAACATCAATCTTGTGTTCTGTTGCATCCACAAGATGAGATAGAATAGCACTACGAATAGATTTTGTTTGTCCTTCACTTAACCACACACACACACACACACACACACACACACACACGAGAAACACACCCAATTATGCCGTCTATGTAACTGGCTCCACATGAGCAGTTAAATTAGACTAAGTGTTTATCTAAGTGATGTAATTGAAGCGCAATGGATTTTATATTGATTTTAATCTATCAAACTCCCTCTCCTTTTATCCATTTGAACGTCACCTGAAAAATATTCACACGTTTTGTTTTGCATGATTAATTCAACGCAGTTTATTTGCTTATCAGTCTTATATCTCCAAATGTATTTTCAATTTCAATAGTACATATATCCCTGTATGTACAGTATTCGGCTGACGAGGAATTCTACCAAAATTAGACGAATTCATTAGATCCTACTTTATCAACGTTTGTTGCTTGTTTTAAATTAGTACTCCATCTCACCAAGCTATATACTGCGTAAGGACTGTCTGGAAGCAAATCTACTGGAATGGTTACATCCCAATTTAAACTTTGATTCCTTACACTTGGATAGAGACAATGTCATATTACATGTTCAACTGGTAAGTCGGTGATTCAGATGTAAAACATGAGTCAACGACACACATACACACACGCATAATCCGAATTTCGATTCTCAACTGATGCACTCATAAGCCTCACCTAGCCAAAAGTTTATGGGGTGAAAGCTGTTTGTTAGCCAAAATTGGTGGACAACAATTTACGTCCCAAATCTTGGTCATGAGAAAAACAAGAACAACTTTTTACGGGCGGATACGATTCGCAGATATATAGTATGACCTTCAATGAAATGGCCACAAGGAGATGACAGACTAAATTTCAGCAAGAGAAAAACCAATCAGAAGACGCTGTTTCTCTGCTAGCAATAACGAATAATAATGTACATAAAAATATATAAATATTCCTTGGATTTCTCAATAAACGATCTGTTGCTGGGCCCTTGTCTTTTGTCATTACAGTAAGACCGGTAAAGAGAGAAGTGAGACTAGCAACCACACCCCGTATAAGAAGACAACTTCGCTATTGAAACTTTAATGCTCAAGCTTGAAGTCTTCAAGCGTTCCACTGGGAACAAAGAGGAATTTTTTTTTAAAGAGACGTATTCGACTGGATCATGGCCAATGAAAGTACTCAAGTGTTGGTTGTAGGGATTTGATTCGTTACAGGATTTCATCATGAGCTGATATCAGTTGGAGAACTATTGGTAAACCAACAATGGAGTACTGGACGGCTGTTTCGTCAGCCTAGTTTGCGACTCTTCAGTAGTACGCACAAGCCGGGATTCGAACCCAGGACCTTTTGGTTACAAGGAGAGCTCGTATAACATTAAGCCACTGGCAACCGATCCAATGGCCAGTCCAATGGTTCTCTAACTAATGTCAGTTCATGATGAAATCCTGTAAACAATGAAAGTACTATTGAAAGCTACATTGCAGTGAGTGCTACTCATAATCAGATATAAAATGTAGTATATCAGTAAACACGTTCAAAAAAGTAACACTATGTTTGGAGGGAGCACTAGAAAAAGCGATCGAAGAACATTACACAAAAACACTGTTCAGAATTCAACAATCTATCGAAAGTAGTGAGTGGTATTCAACCAATTTGTACAGGATGTGCAAATAAAGACTTATATATGAAATTTATGTGCCTGCCTACAATGAGTTTATCCTAATAGACATTCGTTTTCAAGCGTCATCGGTCGTCTTTTATTCTCTTTACAAAATATATTTCTGAGTAAAATAATACAAACAAACCTACCATAAATCATCAGTTAAATGACAACCGAAATCATGTCTCAAGTCATCTTGACGTCGTTGTTTTAATAAATGTCCAACATCGAGAAAAATTTCACGTGCCATAGATTTTACAGTTGATCCGCTAAATACAACGTCGAAAAGAGATCAAGAAATAGGATGACAATTAATTAAAACTCTTATTTCAAAAATATGAGAGACAAAATTTCTTTTTATACATTATAGTCCATGAAAGGAGATGAATTCAGTGATGAGTTACTTCTCTTTTCAGCGATATCATTCTCAAGCTACTCTGGGTTCCTTTTAAGAAAGGTGGCACGGAACTGACTAGATTTTTCAGGAAACTATGAGTAAGTAAGAGTGCTACATCAATGTGAAATGAAGCTATTATTGAGCTCATTTTTACTTTATAAAAGGGCCTACGTAATACATGTGACAATCATAGGGGTATTCAGTTTGCTACTCAGCCACGTCTATAATACTGGCTGTTGACTTGTTTCGCAACCTGTGAAAAACATGTGACGGACTGATTCGCGATGAGAAGTAGGCCATCGATGTCTTTACGCCTTGTGTCAGTTAATAGAACACCTTCACGAGTATTACAGGCCAACAGTCTTGATATTACGGCCGCTTTCGATTCATTGGACAGAACTGTTCTCTGAAACTGTCTGTTAGAGATGGGTGTACTTGAAAAATTGTTAACATCCTGAAAGCCTTATACAGAAATAGCTCAGGTACAGTGAGGATACACAACCAGCTATCATCATTGTTCCCAACAAATAGTAAGGTTAAATACGGTTGCCAATATCTCCATTTCTCATAAACTTTGCCATCGATGAGATATTGGAGTCAGCCTTGAAGGACGTGAGTGGTATCGGTGTAGGTCTGTTTCATAGAGAAAGCATTTTCAACCTCGATGATGCAGATGGTATCGGCGTTTTGTATCGTCTAAGTAAGAAGTATTGTTGCCAGACTGGTAGTGTGGTGAGAGTAGGCTGCTAGCCAGTTGGTAGACATTAATCTACGTCAATGTCTAGGTCATTAAAATTGGCCGTGAGAAAATATGAACAAGGCTGATTCAACAACCAATCACACAGCAGACCTAACGTGGGAAAATATGATTCGCAGATAGATGGCTCCATTTTCCGAGGTTACCCGAAACAATCAATCAGAAGCCTGCGTATGTCTGCTTAACTTCCGGTAAACAACCAATCAGAAGACTGAGTTTGTCTACTTGCATAAGCTATAATAATGTACAGGAAATATATATAAATACGTGTTGATTTCCGTAATAAAACGATGTGTTGCCGGCCCTTGTCTTCTGTTGTTAAAGTATGAGCCTGACCTGCACTCACCCTTGCAGATGAATCTCTTGAAGTTCTCAACAAGTTCATTTATCTAAGCAGTTATGTAAGTGCTGACGGAAGTGTGACGAATGAGATCCAAAACCGTATAGTGAAAGTTAAGGCGGCATACTTCAATTTAGGTCAATTCTGTGGCAGTGGTGACTTCAACGTGGCTGTCAAACGTCGGTGTTACAATGCTTCAGTACGTGCAATTTTGCCCTGTGCCTGTGAAACCTAGTCCATTCGAGTTGAGGATGTATAGCAACTCTACATATTCGATAATCGGTGGATCTGTACAGTTGTTTGCGTCCAATGACATCATCGTGTGAGTAAGTAATCTCTGAGGCCGAGCAGTGGCGTTTATCTGAATACAATGGAAATCACCTTTCATTGTGTGTGTGTGTGTGTGTGTGTCTGTGTGGTTATCTTGAAACACTCATTTTGGTGACTTGCTTGGACGCATGTCACGAATTTCATTCCACTATTTGCATTCTCTTCAGGTGACAAAAAGCCTTCATTTCCAATATCCTACTCAAAGACTTACATTGTTTTACACACATCATACAGAATCAGTGTTTCGCTATAACCTTTGCCATATTTTTCAATCTACTTCATATTTCATTTAACATTCGAAGTGGCTGACTGACAGGATTTAAGGTAAATTTTTGCATAGATGTTCATCACTTTGAGGTGATATACTCCCTCCTTGTAGCACACAAACCAACAGAGGAGAGTAAAGTGAGGTATAAAACACACAAAGAGAGAGAGAGATAATAAACAGAAGTGTTAGTGAGGGAAAAAGAATAGTAATATGAAAGACCTATGTCTGTCTGTCTGTTTTCGACATACAACTTTGCACAAATGTGCACCACTTCAAGTCGCCACACTCCTCCTTGTAGCACACAAAGCAACAGAAGAAAGTAGAACAAATTCATATTAGAGACAGTAAACAGACGTGTGAGACAAAGGAAGAGTAATAACGAAGAACAATATAGTTTCATTGGAAATCATAAGACATAAGGAGTGGATGAATCTGCGCTAGCCACTGAGAACGATTTTGAGCCATGTGACCAATTGTTTCCAACCATAGATTTTTACCGTCCCGAGGACCCCAGCCAGGAAGTCTACACCTTCCTACGTGGCTTAGACCAACTGTTGTAGATTTCATTGACTGATGAAGCCATGTTTTTGTTTGACCTCCACTAGCTCTTTTCCACCCTGACCAAAATTCCGCTAACATTGCTCGTCGAGGAAGGCGATGACCAGGCATACGTACCACGTGTCCTAACCATCTCAGTCTTTGTAACTTCACAACTTCGTCGAGTGATTTCCCCCCTGCTTACCTAACACTCGACGCCTAACTCAATGTTGCTCACCTTATTATGCCACTTTACACGGGAAATAGAGCGCAGGCACCTATGATCAAACACAGGTAGTCTTTTCATGTCTTCCACTCTCAGTGGCCAGGTCTCACAGCTGGCCATAAAGGAGGACGGAGCGGATTGATGAGCAGTACACCCGCCCTTTGGTCGATAGTCGAACATCTCGTCTACGCCAGAGTCGGCGTAAACTAGCAAATGCGAAACGAGCCCCCTGTATTCGTGCTGAGATTTCGTCAGAGATCAACCTGTTGGCTGCTGATGCAACCTCCCAAACAAGTGAAGCGGTCAACGTGCTCTACCACTTCACTCCCTAATTCTAATCTAGGAGTCGGTGTAGTCCAGTCCTGTAACATCATCTTGCATTTGGTCGGAGCGAATCGCATGCCAAACATTCGTAGATTGCGGCTGAAAGTGTTTAGAAAACACTGCATTTTTTCAGCGTCCTCGCCTAGAAGAACTATATCGTCTGCATATTCTAAGTCGACGAGATCATTCCCTGACGGTAGCAAGTCAATCCCTGAGTCGCTGAAGTGAGTTAGGGTTAAATCGACTAGTACATCTATGATGAAATTGAATAGAAATAGGGATAATGGGCATCCCTGACGGACACCACTCGTCGTCACCAGTTCAGATGACAACTCACCGTAAGCCCTCACCTGGGTGTATGAGTACGAGTAGAGTGCCTTAATCAGTGCAATATATTTTCTCGGAATTCCCTTTACAGCCAAGCATCTCCAGAGAACCTCTCGATCGACAGAATCGAATTCCGCCTTTAGGTCGGTGGCACAGTGGTTAGGACTCTCGCCGACCATACACATGGTCCGGGGTTCGAGCCCACGCCGGCGCACACCTGATATCTATGGTCGGCCTGCGAAATTTGGGCTACCGATATCCATGCTAAAAATTCCATACTTGTACCAAAAATACAGTGTGGAATCAAGCTGTAAATCTAAAAAAAAATATAGTGATTGTTGGGCACCGGTAGGAATCCCTATGTTCTAGAATCTGTCGAAGGGTGAAGATATGATCGATACACACTCTTCCTGGTCTAAAGCCTGCCTGGCTCTCTCGTGTTTGTTCCTTCCGATCACCACTTAGTCTACGCATGATTATGGAGCCTAGGACTTCAGATACTATATTAGTCAAGCTAATCCCTCTGTGATTATCACAGGAAGACCTGTCTCCCTTCTTGTATATCAGGATAATCAGTGAAAGACCTATATTTTCATTAGATGTGATAAATCACAAAGAGTGAATGCATCTGAGCTACCGTCGAGAACGAGGATTTCGTGCTATATCCCCAACTGTCCCCAGTCGTTATTGGTTCTTACCATCCCGAGGACTTCAGCCAGACAGGCAGTCTACACCTCTCTACATACCTGGCTAGCTAGCTCAAAATAACTGTTATGGATTTCATTGACTGATCAAACTGAGTCTTCGTTTGACCACCACTAACTAACTAGCTCTTTACCAATCTGATCAATCCTATGCCAGTCAGCTAAAGTTGCCCGCCGTTGAGGAATGCGATGGCTAGCTACGCAGGCGTAACACGATTTAAACTAGCACTAAACAGTGCGTTGATAGACGCGTAACGCCAGTGATGAGGAAGAATTACCACTACCTTGCAAAATTTACATCTATTATGTCATTAATTTATGATGATGACATTTATTCAACTGAAGATTTAGCTTAGGATCTTAATCATCAAAAGGAACGGTAGTTGACCGGTGTGTGTACTTTTGACATTTCAATGATTTTTCAAGTATTGGCACTTTTGTAGGGATTTAGTGTGATTGGTTGGCAGATTTTATTATGACCTGATATCAGAGACTGGCCCTATTCAGGTAGTAACTTAGGGTTCTAGTGCGAAGCCGTGACCAGTAGGCTACAGCAGGTTGAAGGTGAAGCAGTAACTCACCCAAGAAGACATTGCGACCGAAGTGGTCGCGCTATGTCATGAATTCGAAGAAATTACTATTCAGGAGTAGGCTATTGGATCGGGCCCAAATGGTCGCTGAATGGTCTACAAGCCAGTTGGCCTTGTAACCAGAAGGTCTTGGGTTCGAACCTTGACGGTGCGTGCGTCCTGATGAAGAGTAAGTCCCAAACTAGGCTGACGAAACAGCTGTCCAGTACTCTCTACAGATTTTCTAATGGTTCTATTATTTATTTATTTAAACGCAGAAAATCTTGGTACACTATGGCACCAAGAAAGATGCGCCACACAATAATAATAATAAAACAACATAGATCAAAAGTAAAAAATATTAGTAGAGAACGGACAAAGAACTTCATGCTTAACAAGTCCAAACAGTGTTCGTTAACTATCATCGGGAAGAAAGAAAGAAGGAAATTGCAACACGTTCGCCATTGATTACGATTATTGGCCACATCCGATGACGTTTCGAGCCATCGATTCGAGCTATCTCAAGGACCCCAACCAGGAAGTCGTGACACACCAGCCGATGCTAATCTAGCACGAAAATCCTTCATCCCACGACGCCACATCATGGACTGACCACACCTCCACCTTTTACATCTCGTCCCAGGGTTAGCGAACAGAGACCTGTACGGAAGCCCCTGGGATAACATTCGGAGCACATGTCCAAAGCCACCAGAGCCGGTGTTCCAGATGACGACACTCAATGAATGGTGATCTCCACCACTGTGTTCAAACACACGCCACCGAACCTCAGAATTACTCACGCGATGATGCCATCGAAAGCAAGCAATCCTGCGGAGACAACGATGATCGAATACGCAGAGTCGCTGCACATCCTCTAACTGATTTCAGCTCATCATGAAATCCTACAACCATTTCAATGATTTGCCTCAATTGAGGTATATGAACTTCATGATAGAAAGAAGTATTCTCTGAAAGACAAATAGTACACACACACACCATTATATATTAGAAAAAGAAAAGGTTATTTACTCACGTCAAATTTAAATTCTCCTTTTTATTTACAGTAGCAACTATTCGATAAATATCAGTGCAATCAGGAAATAATTTTTTCTTATTGACTAGGTCTTCAATCATTTCATTCACTTTTGAATACTGACAACCTTGTTATGTATAGAGAGAGATAAAAGAAATGGGGAATGTTTAGTGTATGTGTAACATCAAAATAAAGCGGTGGGGGGGGAGGCTAGAGGTGAAGTATACATTTCCCGCCATCAGACTCATTCCACACTTTATTACAACATCGCACAGTATGTATGTCTAAACCAAGTTCACTTTTAACGGTTTGAAAAAATTTAGGCATTAAGTAAATGATATTGATTACAATAAAGGTTCTCTTATTTGTATTTCCCAATGAATGAAAAACAAAACGATATTGTTTTTACTGACATTTCGCTATTTAATGCTGCTGCTAATAGCTTTATCAAGTAGTATTATTACATAGTGAACTTCCCTATCACATTTTTGTTGATTTTGCTACTTCATGGAGGAGGAGGGTGTTGTAGCCAGATCAGATTCTGTTTTAGTCCATCATTCCTATTCAGGCAATTGGGATTTCACTTGATCTGAAGTGCTTCTGATATTAGACATTCTTTGTGGTTTCTGAAGTTTTTCTGGATGATGATTTCAATATCGTCAAAATCAATTTCGTGGCCTGATTCCATAGCATGTAGACCTATGGCTGATGATTTTTCAGGTTTTTCTAGTTCAATTGGATTTCTTGGTGGTCGAAGAGATGCTCTACGGTGTTCATTTCTTCTCATTTTGATTTCTCGAGATGTTTGTCCAATGTAGATAGCATCACATTCCAAGTATTTTATTTTATAGACACAATTAGATAGAGAATCTTTCGGGATTTAGTCTTTTATATGGAAAGGTTGCTTTCATAATTTTACACACTGATCAAATCCAACAATCTACACTTGATTTTGTTATCTTTACCAGTTGACCAACTTGACAACAAAAAATGACTCCAAACTAACGAACGACGATCAAGTTAGTAAACTTTGTTTTGATATACAATAACAGATATACTATTACCTTTGATATTTGGTTTGTGTGATCTTCATTGTTATTTTGACTTTCAATATGTCCTTTTAAGTTGACCTAACTTGCCTATTTTCTCCCCCCTTAACTCTTTGTTATATATATGCTGAGTGTATTTTGTAAATTCCGGTTTAATAATACTACTTGATAAAGCTATTAGCAGCAGCATTAAATAGCGAAACGTCAGTAAAAACGATATCGTTTTGTTTTTCATTCATTGGGAAATACAAAAAACTTTATTATAATGAATAGTACAGTATGCCAGTAAACTTAGTCAAAGGGAGATAAGTATCCTGCTCCATATGTCAACTTCGACTGCATTTATCAATTAACCTGCACACACACAACAGCAAGTACATAGGAAGGATATAGAGGAGAAAGTGTCTACTAGATTCTCCAAGCATATCCCTGAAAGTCTCCATTTGAAAGGCAGTAAAGTGTTCACAAGAGCAATTACCAGTCAATACACAAACACACATACACTAGAAATTAGCCTTCAGGCTTTCATAATAATCAATACACAAAGAAAAGCATGCTTACTTCGGCTCTCAGACCCCATTATCAACAAAGGACTTCGCCTCAACCCATGCAGCATATAGAAAGATGGTGTGACTAATCCGCAACTACCCTAACCTGGTAAAACTGTAATTGTTTTCCTCATGTGTGTTTTTGCGTTTTGTCTCCGCGCATAACATTCCACTCAATTCTGATTTAGATTTTCACTCATTGAATTCAACTCAATATTAAGTCTCCAAATCTACTACTAAATTAAATTATTTTGTCCATCTTATAATTCTATTTCACTATTCACACCACCTACACCACCGCTCTCCTGAACTCTCCACCATAATATGTGAGAATTCACTCTGTTCTTCTATCTTGTATTCTGTCTCTAGTCCATTCATGTTTCCAAGATAAATCTGAATTCCACCGTCTTGTCTAATTACTCTATAAATATTTATACCCTTTAACACTAAACAAATGTCTTACTCACAACAACATCTCTGAAATTATGTGTTGCTTACACTTTCTGTTTTTATAACTTTGTAGGTCATTGTAAAAAGTATGTTCAGATAGAATTTTGTAACACACATATAATTGATTCTGTTGAGGATGTATTCAGTTGAAGAGAATCCACTAATTGCACAATTTATATACACAATCTTATTATTCTATTGACAAAACATCGTGATTGCTTTATACATATTTAACACTTCTTTGTAAAGTTATGTAGGCATACTAGAATTAATGATATTAGATGGTTGGAGGCAATCGGCCACAGGAAGCCTCATCTGACCTAGTTTTGTGCTAGTTGGCAATCACTAGTCAGAAAGGCGTATCTGCAGTTACCTTGAAGGAATTCATACCCCTCCTTCTGAGATTCAAACCCACGTCAACCAGCGCCGCCTGCAGTCAGACACGTTACCACTGAGCTATTCGGGCTGCCTTGTGTTCGACCTCCTGTAGGACTGTAGTGGATGCTCTAATTGGACCCTAGTAACTAGTGTGATGATGTGTCTGGTCTCTTCTTTAGTGGAGACTGAATTCTATGAGTCAGGTTTGCTAGATAGATCTCCATCACGGTGAACATTGATTTGATGGTATTAAGTGGTTGGAGGCAATCAGCAGGACGCCTTGGAGCATCTAATATCATCAAATACCAATGCGCACTGTGATGGAGAGCTACCTAGAATGTTGGCCACATTGCAAATCTGACTGACTGATAGAATTCAGTCTGCACTAAAGAAAGGACTAGACACATTATCACACTAGTTACTAGTATCCAATCAAAGCATACTAAAGTTAAGCCTGATGAGATATAATTGAAAGCACAAAATCACACTGTTCACTTAAATGTATTGTTTTTTGAAATAGTAAAGAGACTGCCAAAAAGGATAAACATGCTTATGAAACTTACCATTATAAGTAAATCTTTGACGTAATATCCTGCCAGATATTCGAGCAACATTACGTATTTCACAAAGTCGACGCCAAGCTTTTAGATATTGACGTTTCAAAGTATCTAACTTCAGATAGGGGGAATCAGATGAATCTAATTCATCAAGATCTAATTCTTTTTCTTCTAACTCTCGTATAGCCTGAGAGAGACGCTGCAAAAAAACAAAACAAGCCAAATCAAAAAGAAAAGAAGAGAGAGGAAAATAGACAATATTTATTACTGTAATTTATTCTGAATTATGTTAAGGCATAAGTGGAGTGTGTGAACAACAATACAGAGACTTGTTTGATATGTGTAAACAATATAATCAGAGTATTAGTTATGTGCAAGAATTTTAGAATATTACTACCTGAACTGAACTGAACTATTTTGTTATAACAGTAAGATTTTGTTCAATGCAAAGTTCTTACGATATGAACTTTACTACGTTTGAATATATGGGACAAAATTTATTAATGTGATGCAAATATTATTATTATTATTATTCAAACTACCAAAGAAAGGAGACTTAAGTCAATGCAAAAACTGGCGCGGAATTATGCTCCTGTCCATCCCAAGCAAAATACTAAGCCACATTATCCTGAAAAGAGAATCAAACAAGCCAACATGGATGAAAAACTTCGACTGGAACAGGCTGGATTCAGAAGAAACAAATCATGTATTGATCAAATCGCCACACTACGGATAATCTCTGAACAAAGCTTGGTATGGCAGCCACCTCTCTATCTCAACTTCATCCACTTTGAAAAGGCTTTCAACAGTACATCGTCGATCGAGAGGTGATTTGTCAACTACTTCGCTACTGCTGTGGGTTGCCATCGACAATTATACATCTCATTCAACAGTTATACGACAATGTTGCATACCATGTAATCCACAACGGAAAACTTTCGGAAGCCTTCGAAGTGAGGACAGGAGTGAGACAAGGCTGTCTACTATCGCCAATGATTTTCCTGATTGCAGTAGATTCGATAATGCGACAGACAGCGGGCAATCAGGAAACAGGCATAAAATGGACTCACACAAAAAAATACATGGAGGATCTGAACTTCGCCGACCATATATGTCTGATTTCCCACAAACTGGAAGATATGCAAGTGAAAAGCAACAAGTTGGCAAAACAAGCATCAAAGATAGGACTTCAAGTGAACATACATAAAACAGAGGTGATGAAGATTCCTGGCCAACACCAACAACAACAACAGACAACAATCAGCCAGCATAAATGGGAGGAACCTGAAAGAAACAGCCTCCTTTATTTACCTGGGAAGCATCGTTTCAACTACAGGCGGACAGAACTGACGAGGATATCAAAGCGAGGATTACCGGGAAAGCAAGAAAAGCTTTCATTGTTCTTAAGTCTGTGTGAAGATTAACAGCACTCATCATCAAAAATAACATCTAGATTTTCAACTCCAATGTGAAGTCAGTGCTACTATATGGATCAGAGACTTGGCGAGTCATAAAGAGCATCTCAAACAAACTTCAGGCTTTCATTAACAGTTGTCTTCGCTCAATACTCAAGATCAGATGGCCGGTCAGAAAATATCAGCAACAGGGATCTCTGGCAATGACCGAACTAACCAGGAACCGATTGTGAAACAGATAGGCAGGAAGAAATGGAGGTGGATTAGCTGGCCATAGTCTGAGGAAGCAAACCATCAATTGACATCACTAGACAAGCCATCGCTCGAGTGAAACCCGAAAGGGAAGCGGCGAGTTGGTCGTCAGTGCAAGGTCATGTGAGGAGGAGATGAAAGCATGTGGGCAGATTTGGAGCGGGGTGAAAAAGTTGGCAGAAAACAGAAGGAAATAGAGATGCGCAGCTGAAGTTCTATGTTCCTCTAGGAATTAAAGGATATAATAATAACAGTTTCCTTTAGTTCCTAGAGGAACGAACATAGGGCTTCAGTCGCACATCTCGATTGTGTTCGATTCTCTGCCGACGTTTTCACCTGTCTCCACGTCCACCTACCCACATGCTTTCATTTCCTCTTCACATGACCTACTCCATGTCATCCTCACACTGACGACCAAATCGTCGCTTCTCATTTGCCTTCCACTTGAGTGATGGTCGGCATTGCGGGTGATGTCACTAACTTGATGGTTTGTTTTCTCAGAGTATGGCCAACCAATCCATCTCCATCTCTTCCGGCTTTTTTGTGGCATAATCGGTTCCTGCTGAGTTTGTTCGTTCCAGAGATCCCTCACTATTGCTGATGTTTTCTGTCCTGCCCTCTGATCTTGAGTAGTATTAAGCGAGGACAACTGTTGATGAAGGTGTGGAGTTTGTCCGAAGTGCCCTACGTGACGCAGTGCTGCGCCAAGTCTCTGATCCATATAGTGAGTAGCATTGACTGACTTCACATTGGAGTTGAAAATCCGGATCTTATTTTCCTTTTCCTGCTGAGTGCTGTTGATCTCCACATCGACAGTTGAGAGTAATGAAAGCTTGTCTAGCTTCCTCGAAGATCCTCGCCTTGATGATATCCTCATCAGTCCCATTCGCTTGTAGTTGACACGATGCTTCCCAGGTAGGTGGTAAAAGAGGTTGCTTCTTTCAGATTTCTATGCTGACTGATTGTTGCCTAATATTGTTGCTGTTGCTATTAGCCAGGAATATTCATCACCTCTGTTTTCTCGTTGTTCACCTGAAGTCCTACCTTCTCTGGATGCTTCTTCTGCCAACTTGTTGCTTTTCACTTGCATGTCTTCCAGTTTGTGGGAAATCAGACATATATCATCGGCGAAGTCCAGATCCTCCATGTATTTTTTTGTGTGAGTCCATTTTATGCCTGTCTCCTCGTTGCTCGCCCAGCTGTCTGTCGTATTATCCAGTCTACCGAAATCAGGAAAATCATTGGAGATAGTAGGCAGCCAGCCACCCTTGCCTTACTCCCGTCTTTACTTCGAAGGATTCCGACAGTTTCCCGTTGTGGATTATATGGCATGCAGCATTGTCATACAACTGCTGGATGAGGTGTATAATTGTTGGTGGCATCCTTAATACAATACTGAAACTAATAGAGATATTTTCTGCATATGTTGTTGTTAAGAGTTAGTTTGTAAGGATTTGATGCGTTCCACATTTGCCTACGAGTTGATATTAGTTAGAGAACCATTGAATATTATCAGGCAGTACTGGTCTTATCACAGTTTTGGACTCATCAGCAGTACACACCCACTGGTATTCGAACTCAGGGCCTTCGGGTTACAAGGCAAGCCCGCAGAAGTTAAAAGTCATGGGACATTGAGGCGCGTCCCAGTGGCTCAATGTTCTAAGAGCTTACCTTGTAAGCAGAAGACCCTAGGTTGGAAACCCGGTGGGTGCATACCACCGATGGGTCCTAAACTAGGATGAAACAACTGTCCAGTACTCCCTGATAGTATTCAATAGTTCTCTAATTGATATCAACCGATGATAAAACTTGAAAAATGTGCTGCTGTTGTGTTGTGCTTATAATTCTACGTTAGCTCCATATCAGATAAGTGTGTATTGGATATAACACACTGTGATACAGTATTGATAACTGTATGATATTTCGAACCCAATTTGTGGATTGTTATTATATCAATAATAACCGCCTTCTAAACTGATCCTATCTCAGTTAAAACTGCTCGATGAGGAAGATGACGACTTTGCATATGTGATACGCGTCCAAGTCATCTCAGTTGATTATTATTGTATTATTTTTGCTCCCTTGGGTTCCCCTAGTGGAACATAGGCCTTCAACTGCACGTCTCCACTTGCTTCTGTCTTCCTTCTGCTGTACTTTTCACCTGCATCCATGTTAGTCCATACTGTCTCAACTCCTCTTCACACGATCTGCTCCATGTCACCTACCCTTGCACTGACGTCCCACTCGCCGCTTCCTTTTCGGCTTGGTTCCACTCGAGCAATGGCCTGACGTGAGCGCAATGTCACCCAATGGCCTCCTCAGCGAGCGAGTATCCAGTCCATTTCCACTTTCTCCTGCATATTTGTTGGGCGATTGGTTCTTGCTTTGTTTGTTCCCATAGTTTCCTGTTGGTGATTCTTTCCGGCCTGGCCATCTGATCTTCAGTATAGAGCGAAGACAGTTGTTAATAAAGGCCTGCAAACGCAATCTCAGTTGATACAGTTTCACAACTTCATTAACTGACTTGTACCAACCTACGTCTAACCCCAGTATTACTCAATATATTATATACCACTACTTAACACAGAAGATGTAACGCAAACACTCAACAGTAAAAGGCATCTAGACTTTCGTATAATCCACCTTTAATAACCATGTCTCACAGTCGTAAAGAAGGATAAAGATAACTACTGAATAGCATAAACATCCTTTGATCGATAGGCAAGTATCATATCTATGCCATAGATGACGACAAACAAACTGGTAAATGCCACACAAGCCTTTTTCTATCCATCAGCAGTCAGTCCTTTAACGCCGATGTAACTTCACAACAGTTATATATATATATATATATATATATATATATATATATATATACATATTGTGGTGAGAGCTGTCTGCGAACAAGTCGAAGCTGTGGACAACAATTTACGTCAATATTTACCTCCCGAATCAGGGTCATGAGAAAAAACACGATAACAAAGCTTAACACTGAGGAACTCAACAACCAATCACAACAGACTTAACGTGTTCAAATACGATTCACAGATATATGCCCTGACTATCTAAGAAACGGTCACAAGCAGTACAGAATAACCTTCAGCAAGAAAACACCCAATCAGAAGACGTTGCTTCTCTGCTAAAATAACGAATAATAATGTACATAAGAAGATATAAATATCTCTTGACTTTCTCAATAAACGACCTGTTGCCTGGTCCTTGTATTCTATTGTTACAATATAAACCCGTGCATATTACTTACCAGTCCTAAGCTCAGAATAAATCGAAGCTTTCGGCTAGCAATCCCATCACTAAACATAACTTTTATTGCAACGGAAACACCAGAACACATGAAATCAGGAAGACTTCTCGGGAAGCTAGTCAGCTGTGATACAGCTTCTTTCAATCAAAGCAAAAGTAGGCAAAGTGATATAAATTGCCTACACATTATTTGATTTTACTCGAAATTCAAAATTAATGAGGCAATATAAAGTATGGAAGTGTTACACATCTGTAAGAGAAAATACTATGG